ACAAGTTCAAGCCCAGCCTGAGCAATTTACTGAGATCCTTGGTTCAAAAAAAAAAAAAAAAAAAAAAAGGCTGCAAAATGAAAGGGCTGGAGCCTAAAGTTAAGGCCCAGAAACAAGCGGGTTTGTGCTACTCCAAAAGGAAAAGTGAGACTGTTGTGCAAGGTGACAAAGGAGCTTTAGAGAGGACAGCTGGCGAAAGCCTTTCCTTAGGTTACTTTTTGCAGAGCAAACCAGAGAAGCTCTGGGTGCAGCTGAGCTGGCTGTACAATGGTCCAGGGAGGCTGGGGAATGCCCCTCAGCACGCCCTGGCTCCAGCTCTCAGAATGGGTGGCAGCTGTACATAGTTTCCAACACCCACAAGAAAGTCTGGGAGAGTCTAGGAGACCCCAAAACCACCAAACTTCCTGCCTGGAAGCCACCGGTCAGTAAGCCCCACTCAGAAACTTTCAAGGACCTTATTTGTCCTTGAAAGTTTAAACATGAATTAAAAAAAAAAAAAAGTTTCCACAAAACAAGACTGGCAGTAAAATGTGACAGGAGAAGCAGAAACTTATGACTATCTGATACCAATTCCCAGAAATCTCCCAGAATAGGGGAGAGGGACACATAAAGAATGAAAAACTAGAAAAGGTAAAAATTAACAGGCTAGAAGAGGAAACATGCAGTTGACTAATGGACGTTTAAGAGAAAGAGTACAGAGAAAAAATAAATTATGGAGGAACTAACTCAAGAAAATTGCCAGTACCAATGAACATGAATTTCTATGACCATTACAAGTGCCCAGTAAATTGGTTAAACAAATGACTTATTTTACAGCACATTATCCTAAAATTTCAACACACTCAGAACAGAGGTGACCCCAAGTGATCCTACAGAATGACTAAACAAGTCACAAGCTACACAGCTGAATTATTTGAAACGCTACCAAGATAGACAATGAAAGAGGTCACAAGGCTCTTGGAGAGCTCACAGATGACATCAGCAATAAGATATTACTTAACATACACAAAACCATCAGTGAATCTACACAAGACACTCATGAGAAGCTAGCCGAGCTTAAAAAATACAAGACAGAACTGACCAGCATAGAAAAGAATCAGAATCTGTAAAAAACTCCAAAGAGAAATTCAGAAGATTGAACAGTCTACAAAAGTATGGAAGCCAGCAGTGATCAATGTGCGTGCACAGGGTCAGAACTAGTAGGAGAGGGCTGGGGAAATAGCTCAAAGGCATCCGCCCCTGCCTGGCAAGCGCCAAGTCCTGAGTTCAATCCCCGACACTGCACTTTAAAGAACTACCAGAAGACAGATTTAAATAATGACTAAAAGCTTAAAAACAACAAAGGTACATGAAAAATGGATCCAATAGCTTCTAGAGAACTAATAATCTAAGATAAACTGGAAATAGTTAAAAATAAGAAGACAGAGTGTAAAGAAAGCCAATGGAGTAAAAAAGAAAAAGAGTATAGAGAAAAGTAGGAATAAATATTTGCCTGCTATTCCTCAGAAGACTTATATCTAATGCATGTGCATATATATATATATATATATATATCTGAATATATATTCATATAATCAAATACATAATACATATAACTTTAAAAATTAGATTCTCCCAGATAAAAGACCCAACAGAAAAGGTGCTAGGCAAAAATAGACACTTCACAGAAGGAGTTCAAACTGCCAAAAAATACATGAAAAAAAAATTCAACATTGCTGCCTTTGAGAGAAATACAAATTATAACACTGAGATTCCATCATGCCCAGAGAGAATAGCCATCATCCAGAAATCAAATAACAAATGCTGGTGAGGTTGCAGAGAAAAAGAAATCCTTGTACGCTACTGGTGAGATTGTCAGCTAGTACAACCACTACGGAAATCAGTATGGAAATTTCTAAAAAAAATCTAAAACTAGACATTCCATTTGACCTAGTTACCCTTGTGTAGATATCTTCCCCTAAAGACTAAAATACATCGTATTGCAGTGAGCCATGCATACTCATACTGATTTGTAGCAGCATAGCTCATACTAGCTAAATCTTGGAAGTGACCTACATGTCCATCAACAGAGGAATGGATAAAGAAATGTGGCATACATGCAACAGTAGAGGGACTGGGGAGATGGCTCAGTAGAATAAGCGCTTCCCTGGCAAGTGCAAGGGCCTGAGTTCAATCCCCAGTTCCGAAAGGAAAGGAAAAAAAAAAAAATCATCCCTGTCACCCACCCCCGAGTGCTGCTCCGCCATAAACACAATAAGCTCGAGTCATCTGCAAGAACATGAAAGGGCCACATGACCACAACATTAAGTGAAATAAATCAGACACACTAGCTTAAATCTTGCATGGTTTTTCTTACATGAGAAACACAGATTATAAATAAAGAGCAAAATAAAACATAATAGGAAGGAGAAGGATCTTCCTCAGAGGTAAAGGGGATCAAGAGGAGGAGGGAGGGCTTGGAGGTGGGGAGGGGATGAATGGGCATGGGATGGGATAGAAACGTGTACCAACTCTGCACAACGAATGGCAACATGATGCATTGCAAACATGTACTAATAAAAACATGTTAAAATGGGGCCAGGGAGATAGTTCAGTAAAATAAGCTCAATCTCTGGTACCACAAAAACAAAAACAAAAATAACATGTTAAAATGTATCTAATTTTAATTCAAGACAAAGTACATTCATTCAGAACCAATTAAAGATGAAAGCAGCATTACTGGAAGAGGAAATCACACTGTGGCAGGCTTAACAATGCCCACAGTTCACATCTAATGCTCATGAATCTCCCCACCAAACACAAATTTCTAAAGTTAAAGAACAGGGCTGGTGAGATGGCTCAGTGGTCTAAAGCACCTACTTAGAACAAGCTTAGCAAAGCACAGGGACCACTGTTCAATCCCCCAGCACTACATGCCAGCCAGCCCCGCCCCCTGGTGGGCTGAGCTGGCCACACACACACACACACACACACACACACACACACACACAAATAAATAAATAAATAAAATTAAAAAAATAAAAATAAAAAAAATAAAGTTAAAGAACAGCTTGTGAAGGTATCTGTAGTTTAAAGATAGGCCAGGACCATCTCGATACAACCACTAGCAGTGTCAGCCTTGTAATCTGGTCTGTAGTAAAGACACTGAAGTTGTAAGATCTAACAGGACTCAGGGACTGCTCCTCAAAACAGCATGCTGTTTGCAGAAACAGACTTGAAAGCAATCGAGAGGGACTTTCCATTTTGTTTCATTTATGGTGGTATTCTTGAATCTTTTTTTTTATTCTTGAATCTTTAACACAGAAAATACACCGTCTTTTCCTTATTCTATAAACGAGTTTAAAGCTAAACAAACCCTCAAAGGCTTGTACACTCTCACAAAAGGCAGTGAGTCAATAGCAAGAGAAAGCATGTAACTTTGGTGGGGAGTGGAACAGCTAGGGAAGCCTGAAAGGCGGAGGAGGATTTTGCCAAGTAGGGGATGCTCAGCTTCAAGGCCAGGGTCACAGATGAGACATAACTGGGACCTAACGTTTACGAAATTAAGTAAGTTACACTAGATGGATATAAGCGCTGAACTTACGTCAAGCTCGCCATCCTGCTAAGCTCAGATAGCACAGCCCTGTAAGGAAGAGCTGGATCTTCCTCAGGCAGGCCCTGTCACCATCGTCTGCTTATCAGTGTGGTATAGGTTCATCCCTGACTTCCATATCTCAAGGAGGAGAACACCTCTCAGACACACATCCACGTTTGGAGTGTTTTACAGAATGGATCTGCATTTCCATGGCGATTAAATAACTTGGTACAAATTACACTTACAAACTGAAGTATCTCAAGTTAAACAACTATTTGCAGGAGTACAGCTAAACTGTCTTCCAAGGAACTCCATCTTATTAATAAGAAAACTCGAGAGGCTAACCCTGAAGCCTCTCCCCACTAATGCTGCTGTCATTATGACACTGTTAGATCATGCCATTTAATGACCTAGCCATGCTCCCAACAGCGAATGCATCTAATTACACAGAAGAAGAATGTCTACAGAGAGCAATTCCAGCCTGCCAATGCTCACAGCCCTGTAATGGAATCATCCAGATGAATGGGATAGAGCCCTAGAGCAGTAATGGTAACCGATGGCACATGTGCCAGAGGTAGCTCTTTATTGTCATCAAAAATACTTAAGCCATCACGGCCCTAAAGAAACATGTTGGGTGGTGTGGCTCTTAGCTCAAGTTTAGAATACCACAACAGTTCTCACACTGGAGCATGCTTCACGATAGCCCTGAAGGCTTCTGAGCATGGACTGCCCGACCCCACCTCCAGAATTTTGGATTCCATAGCTCTAGGGCCAGGCTGAGAATCTGCACTTCTAATAAGCTCCAAGTGACACTAATGTGGCTGACTTGGAGATATTTTGCAAAACTAATAGAATAGTAAACCTTATTTATGAAGTCTTTAACACAGTAAGTTAAGTTGTACCTGATAGTAATCTAGATCTGAGTTAAATAGTACTACAGTGTGAGAATCAAATAAACTCACTTGGAATCCATTTTGGTCACTTTCTTAGTAAAAAATTCATCTACGCCTTCATCCACTCTCCCCATTAGACCATTCTGCTCCCCATCTTGGGAGACGATGGCAGCAGCACAAACCTGCAAAGCAAACAGAAGCAGCGTTAACCACACCCAACTCAACTCGGTAAACACCGATCACTAGAGTCAGAGGAGCATGTATGGGATGTGAGGGGAACAAGGCTCACCAAGATGGGCACTACCTAATCTACCGGAATATAGGCCGGGGGGGACAGGCATCACCCTGACAGGAGGAACAGAACAGAATGTTTATAAAATTCAACAGAAACACCCTGCTAGGTAGGGACTCATGCTGACTGACCACAGAACTTGGACCTAACAGGCTGAGAAGAGGCCACAATGAAGAAACTGACTAGTGAGGAGACAACAGACAATAGGCAGTGACTGTGAATAACAGAGTCATGTACAGAAACAATGGCGCCACCCTCAAGCACGGAACTTCATCCCAGTCAGAGCAAGGTTTTCTTGTATCTCACGGTGAACAGAGAACCGGAGAGGTTCTTAATTCAGCAATTTAGAGAAAGAAGCTCACTCTCAACATTGCTATTGACCCCAAATGACAAAGTAGTACAGAACTTGCTGGTCTCAAATTTTTCTTTTTGAAAAACAACAGAGAAAAGACTACCTATAGCAATAGCGGTCCCTTATGTTGAGAAAGAGATTGGTGGCTTACACATGTTCTGTGCCCTAGGAGTTCACTCACATCTCTCCTTGGAGCTGAAACGAGTTTTGTCTTAGTGCTTGGTTAGTCACAGATCAAACAGCGGCTTAGAGGATGAGGGGCTCTCATACAGGTCACCGAGTGCCCGACTGAGAAGCACATGACCCATGACACATGGTCTTAATATGGAGCGTCCCTTAAATGACTCTCTTTTCTGTTTTAAGAGAAAAACAGTACATTTCACTTGTATAATTTTTCCTCTCAGCCCTTGTCTTTGAAAGAGAATTCACAGCTGGTGCAAGGCTCTCTGGGGATGTGGAGAAGGTTGGGGTCTCGGAGATGGTGGAGTGTAGCTGAGAAAAGCCATCTGCTCCCTGCAGGCCAGGCCAGGCCTTTGGGTCCCCAGCCCCACTCTATCATTTGAGAACTAAGGACACCAGCGTGAATGGATTTTGTGAAGTCCAGAACTGCAGAGAGCCCACCAGCAAGGCACACTTTAAAATGCAGCTGCTAATTGGAAGGCAGCAGGAGGGGGCTGCGAGAGGAACAGCAGAGAAGCTGAAGCGAGGGGCGAAATGGAGTTGGGACAGAGTTCAAGGCCAAACGCACAAGCTGTGTTAGCTCATTTTCTAGCACAGGAAAAGGTTGGATTCCTGTCTTTTCTGTCAAGGAGGATAAACGTCTGGGTGGAAAGAGCCACATAACTGTGCAGAGGAAACCAGAAACCCAAGCCCTGGTCAGCCTGGCTGCTTTCTGGGTCCCAGAACAGCGCCTGCAAATAAAATCAGAGTGGCCACTGCTGCTATTTGAGAAGTGAAAAGGGCAGGCGTCACAGCTCGGTGTGTAAATAAACGCTACCAGGATAACTGGGGAGTGCTCAGAAGGTGGCTACGAGGCCTGCAGCCAACTCAGAACCCCTCCCCCCCGCCTTCCCTCTGCCAGGATGGTGAACATGGTGACAGCAGGGAGGTGCAGTAGGCACCGCAGCTGGATCTGACAGGGCAGCTGCCAAAACTCACCGCGTCTTCAAAGACTAGGTGAACAGAAATGGGTGGGAAGGAACAGACACACCCAAAAGGTACTCATTAGCGAGCTGAATGACCACACAATCCTACACGCATATGACACACAGAAGACTGATGGGCCAAGGCAACAAGGGGAAGTAGGGGACCCAGAGGAAATAAAATGAAGGAGTGTACAAAAACTAACAGACCAGAGTGAACTGGAAGTCAAGCCTTTGAAAAAGATGAGTAAGAAAGCCAAAAAACCGAGTGCTGAGAAAAGGCCTTAAAGTAAACTGGAATAGAGGAAAAGGAGATGTCACTCTCCATACGGCAGAGATTAAAACTCTTAAAAGAGTTCTATAAATAAACGATTACACTAAGTGACAATATTTTTGTAGAAAAACAGAAATTATCAAAAATGGTCTTGAGAAGAGTTATGTAAACCGAACAGATCTATAGCAACAAACAGACAAAAATCCTAGTTAAAAAAATAAAGACCCATAGTGGGGATCACATACATGCTTCATGGACAGCTGAGCCCCAGTGGCTTCCCAGAACAGGAACTGGCAGTCTCTATTACAGGCAAACGACTGCACAGGCTAAAAAGCAGTGAGAGCCTCCCAGCTCAGGTTAAGAGCACAGTGTAACTGTGAGACTCAAGGCGATGGGAGTCTAGGCAAGAGAAAGGAAATACACGGTACTCGCCTTTATACACACACACTGAAAAGTCCTATTAACCTATTAGGAACAGCTGGGTGAGGTGGTGCATCCCTGTAATCTCAGCACTTGGGAGGCTGAGGCCGGAGAATAACAGTGAGTTCAAGGCCTGCTTGGGCTACACAATGAGTTACAGGCCACTCTGAGCTACATACAGAGTGAGACTCTGTCTCAAAAAACAAAGGGCAACCCACACAGGTCCCTTCTATCCCTCTCTGGAACAGAAGCTTTCTTTCCTTCAATAAATACATTTTGCTCTTAACCTACATTGTTCCTCAAATTCATCCTTTGGTTTTAGAGAACACAAACTTGCCCCAGATAACTTTCAGGCTGGGAGTTTCTTTCTCCTGTATCAGTGGTTTGGCACTATAAAACGTCCTTGAAAAACAGGACCTCTTTTTTCTCTCTGAGAAGTTTTCTTTCCCCAGTAAATATAGCTTTATCAAATGAATAGATTCTGCTCTTAAAAACAGAACCAAATCAAACCAACCAAACAAACATTTTAGGAAACAATGCCTTAGCAGGATAATAAAACTCAGCAAAAATATCCTGATGCATAGTGGCATGACATTAGCAAAATCTGTTGATGAGATTCATCAGAGCAGACTAAGAAAAATTATCAATCCCAGGAAATACTAAATATACAAACATCATTCTCTGAACAAAAATAGTGAAACAGGACAGACAAAAAGTTTCTCAACTGAACAAATACCAGCAGGAACTGCTGTGTTTCTATCTATTATTGTTTGGTCACATTTACTTAATAACGAAATCTTGGCTTATTCTGAGAATCAATGTGATCAGCTGAAACTTACCTTCCTGGATTCCTTTGCATAAATGGGTACAAATGTGGTTTATGTGGAGGCTGTGAGCTCTAACTGGATGTTTACTAACATTTCCAAGTAAGTTCTGATTACACAGTCTAAATTCTACTGCATGTTTACCCTTTTGCTCTGCCTGAAATATGCTTAAACAAAGACATTATAGGTGTTCTCTGAGACTAAGACCAATATGGTCACCTACCTGAATGATATATCATTAAGTAGGTAAGTGCCATCTGGATCAATTAAGAGTACAATGTGTGTGTGTGTGTGTGTGTGTGTGTGTGTGTGTGTATGTGTCACACACACACACACACATATATATAAAGGGTGGAAAAATTTACTGGGATAGGGAACAGGAGTAGCTCCTGAGACAGGAGGGGTCCCGAATGGGTTGAAAATAAGTAGTTTTTAAAATGAAGGAGTGAAATGGTCAACCCTGGAATTTAGTCACAGCAGAGTAGCAAGGCTTGTAAATAGATTCCAGGCAGAACACTATGAGGAACGTGGAAGAGAAGAGGAAATTTAGACTGTAGAAGAAAAGACCTTGCAATGACGCACAAATATTTAGAATTCCAGAGAAGAGACTTGCATATGTGCCACTCCAGAAGACTAAACCTAGGTGGCTTAAGTGAAAACTCTCAAGATTTTTAACAATGCAGTAAATAATTTGCAACTAAAAAGCAGAGCTTTGCAGCTGCAGAGCCAGAGGTCAGTGTGGAAGGAATGGCTCGCTGGGGGCTGCGGCTGGGCTTTTTAAGTGTGTGGCAAAGGACTGGGCGAGGTGGCTCCAAGGCCCGCTAGGCACTGCGATGCTGTCATTTGAAACACAGAAGGGGGATGTGGCAGCAGGGTTTCATCCCCGGCCAGGGGTGCAGGGCTGCGCCAAGATCACACGGTAAACTGATCAGCGCTGCCGTGGCACCCACAGGAGGTGGCTGCAGGTATGTGACACCAACTCAGAAGATGCGAGAGCTACTCAGGTGTCTGCCCTGGATTCACACTCCCGTAACTCATGTGCAGATCATTTTTTTAAGCTCCCTCCTTGGGGAGACGGTTCTCACAGGTGGCAGGGTCAGATCTAGACAGCAAGGTTCTGCCCTCTTCCCTGAAGCCTCTGCTCTCTGTCGGAGCACCTTTCACCTGCGGGTTGGCACAGGTGGAAGCAGGCAGTGGCTGAGCTGGGGTGACTCGGGCTGTACCAACATCCTCTGTTCTTGGCAGGACCTGTGGAGGGAACTGCTCAGCCTTATTTACCAAGGGGCCAAGTCGCTGCGGGTAGAAGTTCCATGAAAGTCACGCTGGCAGCTTTCAGGCCTGGCTCCCAGCCTCTGGTGTGCACAGCGGGGCTCTGCACATCACCTTCCAGCTCAGTGGCTGTGCCCCGTTCCCTAGCTCAGGTCTGAAGGTACCCTTGTGGTGAAAACCTAGATTGTAAACCTTCGGTCATACTTTTCTCTTGTCCATCTGCCTTTTGCTGTCAGAATTTCAGCTGTGATGGGTGAGAACAAATTCCGTCTCCCTACAGTTTCTAGCTCGCTTCACAGCTTCCTCTACTTTTTTTCATTTTTCAAAGGCACAAGGAAAAGAGAACACAAAAGTCTCTTTCCAAGAGTCACTGACTTAAATGGGGCAGCTTACGCCATCATCTCCCACTTGTTGCACTGCTGAGGTTCTCCAGAGCACTTTATCCCGTCACAACCTGGAATGTACAGTGTGAGCTACTGGGTGGGAAGGTGGCTTTTTCTCTATCTGAAAGAGCTTTCAAGCAGGGACGGTGACACGGGCTGTAATGCTACCACCCTGGGATTCTGAAGCAAGAGGATCTCAAGTTCAGGCCCAACCTGGGCAATTTATTTATTTATTTATTTATTTATTATTATTTGCAATTTAGCAAGATCTTATCTCAAAACAAAACATAAGGGCTGGGAATATAGCTTGGAGCAATGGCCTGGGGTTTAATCCCTAATACTCCACAAAGCCTTTCCCTTAAGAAGGAATTATGTAGTGGTGCAATAAAGAATCTAAAAATCAAATAAATTGGAATATGATGCATATAGAAGTTTTTTAGTTTTGAAATGGTGTTAACAAACACCATTCAAATGAGGGCAATAAACCAAACACACAAGCCTGATCTACAGTGAGTCACCGCTGACTGTGCAGACTGCCGTGACCCGCATCCAGCTGTGTCTCTTGCACCACTTCATCCAGTAATTCCTCAGTAGCACCACATTCTGAGTGCTCAGCACATCACCAGGGATGAGAAGTCCCAGCCCTGCCCAGAACTACAGAGGAGGAGAGGGGTGAGAAAGCAGGACATGGTGACAGCACTGGGGTGGAGGGTTGCTCGGGCTGGGCTTTCTGCTCAGTCTGTAAAACAAGTCTCCCTGGAGTCCTGCACAGAGATAGAGAGGGCTCTCAGGCAGAGGTGTGGACTTGTCGGAGACAAGATCCGGAAGATGCGAGAGCAGCTACCAGCCCAGGAGAGAGCAGGGCGGCTCGCCTAGCAAGGAGGAAGTGGGCCCAGGGGTGACCAGGCTAGGCCTGAGTTTCCATCCTGTCTACTGGTGATGCCCCTCAGGGGACAGAGGGCTTAACAGAGGGGCAGGGTGGCAGGTGAGCAAAGCTCTGGGCTTTGAATGCTCTGGGTCTGAGGTGTTGAGGAGGCTGACTCCTCTCCAAAAGGTCAGCTGTCCCAAGATAGTCATCATGAGCAACAGAGCACACACAGACAAACAGACAATGGGGGACTTTGTGGGAGATGCTGTGAGCAACAACTCCAGGACCAGCAGGGCGGCTCCCGTGAGGAAGGTCTCCCCCTCCAGCATCACACACTGCACAGACATGAGGGAAGAGGAAAAATAGCTTGGGAGAGTGCCAGGTAGGACTCGGTCAGGGTGGGGTTGGCATGAATTGTAGGGTGGTACTGGGGTGAGCAGATAAGAAGGGAAGATCCTGGGGGCTGCGAAGAGCCAGGAGAGCCAGGAGATGGGACAATTTGTCAAGAAGCTTGGCTGTTTTAGGACAGGGAAGGCATCAACACACCCATCACACTGAGGCTCCTCTGCACTGATAATCCTGCCTTCTACTAGGGCAAAGCTGAGTCACAATGGTGCACCCCATTGGGGCCAAGTGTACAGCTCAGCAGGCAGAGGCCACAGTAGGGGGCCCATGCATGGAGGGGGCAGGAGTCCATGTGTGCACCCCAAAATCAATTACATGTAAGATTTTTGCTAGTGAATTCATATATTTCCTCTCAGACACTATAAAAAGGCTATGGATGTAGTCTGTGCGTCTCACCCCATGGCCTGGTATTTTTCTAGGGTCTTCTAACAGCTGTGGCCTGAAGGGCAAGGAACTTCACAGTGTGCGTCTCTCAGAGCTACATAGCAGCGAGTGAAGGCACTCCTTACATACGTCATGTATAGAAAGGGCCTGGTCCCCATGACTATGCTTTTGGGATAAGGGGAGAGAAGGCCTCCGCCGGGTGCCCACCTACCGCTGCCTGCGTGGGTCGCTGCTTCTTGTTGCGCTTTGGCCTCAGCTTGGTAAAGTGCTCCAACTTCCTGCCCTCCTCAGAGGGCAACTCAGAGATGAACCCTGAGCTCCGCTTCTCCTGCCTGGTGGAAGGGTAGGGCGGGTCTTCCACATGAATCGGCACCTCTTCCAGTGCTTTGTCCAGGTCAAACTCCATCTCTGCAACAGAACAGAGCTCAAGGTCAAAGTGCAATGCAGGGATGGACAGAAAAACTCAGAAAAGCCATCTTTAGCCTATCAGGACACAAACCATCCACATCCACAGTGTCCCTCTGAACTGTGGCCAGAGTGGCCCAGGTCATGTGGGAATGCTTCAGGGACAGGCAAACGGTTTGTGCTGGCCACATACTTACCAAAAGCCCTGGAAACAGGCCGCAGCATTCGGCTGTGGATACTCTTCCTTTTGGATTTAGGAGTCATCTAGCAATAAAATAAAGCAAGCACTTAGACAGGCAGTCACAGGAAAGTTGCCTGTCAAACTTTAGAACATTCTAGGTCCATGGACCCAACTCAGCATTTGTCTTGCTCCTTTGGGGAACTGTTCAGGATCACTGAAAGCCTGACTCAAAGGCTGAAGTGATATATTTCTGTTATAACTTTCTCAAATGATATGGCTAATTTTCTCCCTTTTCATCCAGCCTCAACTAGCTACAACCTATGCCTGTAGCTGAAGAAAAGCAAGACACAGAATTTCATTCCCAGAGTGTCACATGAGGATGTTAAAACAGACATAAAGAATGAAATTCAAAGCCTATAAAATCAGTCACAAAAATTGAAGACTGATTGTCACAGCAATATAAGCACGTGGCAGTCTTTATGTGTCACTTCAACAAATAAAGCTGTTTAACTGTGGTTCAGCTTCCTAACAAGATTCAGTTATTCACATGATGGGCAAAAACCAATTAGAAGAAGAAGATACACAGTGCAAATGCTCTACCAGCTGGCATGTCCTCTAAGATGTCTTGGACCTTGCCAGTCTTTTAAAAAGTGAAACCCAACCCAAGATCAAAAGGTTAGAGGGTTTTCCCAGCATCTATATAAACTTTTTTTCTTGGTGGAACCAGGGATCGAACTCAGGACCTTGCACTTGCCAGGCAAGTACTTATTCTACTGAGCTATCTCCCCGCCCCCACTTTGACTGCATAAAACTTTAGAGAGATGTTCTCTTCTCCACTACTTTCTCCATCACTTTCATCATTTGAGTGTTGGGGTTGGCGAAACAGCTCAGTGGACTAAGCACCTGCTTAGGCAAGTGCAGGGACCTGGGCTGAATCCCTGGCACCACACGCTGCACTGGCCTCTCCCTGGGACACGCTGAGTCAGACAACGAGACTGGGTGTGGTGGCGCATGCCTATAATCCCAGTGCTGGGGAGGCTGAAAACAGGAGGATCACTACAAGTCCAAGCTGCTTAGTAAGACCCTGTACCAAATAGATAAAAAAAAAAAAAAAAAAAAAATTAAACCCATCATACGAGTGCCGCAGCTCTGAGGAAGCTTTATCATCGCCAACATAAAAAACTGGAAGGACGAAACAAGTCCTAGAGACTGATAAAGACACCCAGCTGCGTCAGAGACAGGACTGACCTCCTACCACACTGGCCAGGCAGACGGGCTGTGGCAATGCCTGAACTGGTTTGAGGCTGGTGTTGTATAAATCAAGAGACAATGCTACTGTAAGAACTTGATTTTTACACTTTCATTATCAGGCTGTCACCTAAGGCTTCCTCAAAAACCCCATGTTTGGAAAATATTCTTGATTCAAAGAATAAATTGGTTCATCCTGACCTTTAAAAGTAAACAACTCTACAGCTTTGACAGTTATGCCAATTTTAATAATAACATCCTTCTGCTATTACCTATTGTTGAAAGAAAGGAGGAAAAATTATGAGCAGTTATTTAAATCTAGAATGGTTTTCCTGAAATAGAAAATGAAACTTGCTGAATTGGTCCTGTCAAAGCTTTGTTAAAGGCAATAATGTGATGAAGAGCCGTGTATAAAGTAACGGGCTCTGCAGGTTTAAGGAAAAATACCAGTCAATAAAAACCAGTAGGCACAATGCAACTGGCCCAGGATCCAGTTTGAAGGTGGTTCTCCCCCAATTGGCCTTGCAGTTGACTGAGGAAGTCCACGGGCTGACTAGTGCACTCATTAATGAAACTCTGATGGCAATGAGTTCTTGGGAGATATAGACTAGCACAGTGGATGCTGTACTTCATGTTGAAAAGTCACAATTCTATGTATCTTAGGTATGACCACCGGAGACAAAGGACCAAGAAGCAGCTTGGAATGGAACTTCCAGCCAATTTCATTGAGACCATCACAAATACATATAATGCATGGGACAAAGATGTCTTCCATTCCACCCCTCCCTCCTATCTGTGCCTCTTGATTAGATTTCATAGAAAAGGTATTCATGGGCAAAAAAAAATTTGGTTCCAATTTCTGATCAGTAATACCTTGAAAATTGATACCAAATACATGTAAAATATATGATAATTATAATACTTCAGATATATCATTTTAAGTATATGAAAAGCAATATATATAATATGAATATATGCATGTATGTACATGTCAAAGAATGTATATAATACATGAAGAAAGCCTTTTACATCTGATGCCCATCTGAAAATGGAATATTTAGGTTAACTTTAGGGATGCATTAAGAAGCGTAAGAATCACCGGGCATTTTGGAGACATCAGTCAAAGGGGACTGGTTTTCTCTTCATGCTCCAGCTTTTGAATGCCTAGAACTTTGGTCATCAGCCAGTTTGCACATCAGAGAATGCATTCTAGTGTGTCTCATTGCTTTCCTATATTTTGTATGCTCTTTGCAAATGCAAATAACTCATAATTACATTTCCCATGAAAACTCTCTCACTGAATTTATCCTATCTGTTGGTCCTGAAGTTTTGCTATGTTTGGGAGCTAACAGCTTTTGGCTAATGAAAAACTTGTAATTAGTAATTTTTGGGTCAGGGAGATGACTCAGTAGAATAAGCTCTTGCCTGGCAAGTGCAGGTTCCTGAGTTCAATCCCCAGTACTGAAAAAAAAAAAAAAAAAAGTAGTTTTTATAGCTCATATTGAGATGCAACCAATTTCAATCTCTTTCTCTTGTGGAGTTTAAGCATAAAAACATAAAAAAGTGAATCTTCTCTCACATTTTTCCTTTACTAGAATTTTTTCATTCTTAATTATAAAGAACATACACATTTGCTCAATCTTATTGGACTATTCCTATAGTCCAAGTACATGTAAATCTATAACAAGATGAAATGTAAAAAAAACAAACCCTGTGACTCTTTACGCAATGTTTGTCTAGAAATCTGGTTTGTTTACACTCTTCCTACCAACAAGGGGTTGAAGGATTGCAACCTGACTTTACTTTTTCTTGGGGGCAGGGCTATCTTTCTTTTAGTACAAAAAATGAAAAATTCTTGGATTGCTTGTTAGTCCTCGTTGACCTCCTGGGATACTGCCAGTGCCTCAGTATCATCTGATCATAGCCTATCCACCAGACATGGGCAGAGGTGCGTTTCTCAAAAACCAATCATGATGAATGCTGTCAACTGCTAGGCTAAGCCTAGACAAAAATTAACTTATTTTTAAAACTGGGTTTTATGAGTAGGTAAATTTCAATATTCACATCCTAAAGAAATATGAACAAAACCACATTAAACCTTTATTTTCAAATAGGATTTTGCCCTAGAACCATCAATAAATCTCATTGTGGCAATGCACAGAGAATAACTATATTTTCTAAAAATCCAAAAGAAACATCAAGTGCTATTCTGAAATCTGCTTTTTTATAATGGACTGAACTATTCTGTGAGTAGCTCAATAGAGATCCAGATGTCTACTCTAACCTCAAGCTATAAACTAATGTTGGAACCTTATAAATCATATACAATATAGCTTCCTTGTCGAATCTACTTTTAGCAGGTAATTTCTAGACATATTACTTTATTTTAAAACAATGAACTGCTTGTGTCACCGTGAAAGTCCCATAAGTTCATTTCCTTACTTGATTTACTAAGTTTACACAAAGAGCAATAAATAAAAATCCAATTCCACGCTCAAGAAGCCATTGTCACTTTTTCTGAGGGTTAGAAAAACTGAACAGTAACAACTGAAAAACAGATCAGGACAACTTCAAACATAAAAAGCAAATCATAATGCTGACTTTCTATAACCCTGGGTATGAAATAAGTTATATGACAGGAATCAGAAAAAACCCAAAAGCTTGAAAGTTTTGTGGTCATGCCTCGTTTTCTAATTCCAGGAGCAGCATGGGCACTTTACTTCTCATGGGTGACGGTGCGTTCTTCTCCAGCATCCCCTTGCTTTTGGGCAACTGCAGGGGATATTTTAAATTATCTCCTTTCTTACTAGCTGACCCATTTGGTAAAACCCAATCTTTTTTTTTTTTTTTTTTTGAGACAGAGTCTAGTTAGGCAGCTCAGGCTGTCCTTGAGCTTGTTATACATCCCAGGCTGGCCCTGAATTCAGGGAGATCCTCCTGCTTCAGCCTGCCAAGTGCCGGGATTGTAGGTGTGGACCACCTCGCACAGCTGTAAATCCCAGCTCTGTCTCTAAATTGTTAAGTCCAGGTCTGCAGATGGATGACAATGCTACAGTTTCCCAGAACACTAGCGAGGCAGCACAGAAGCAAACGGAGCAGTAGGGTAGCCAGAAACTGCAGAGCCATGAGAAAATACTTACACTTGTACAGCAGAGAGTCTCCATGCAGCAAAAAGAAAGGAACAAAAAAAAAATATGAATGGAAGAGAGATAAAGCAGCAGCATTACTAGAAAGGGGGAAGGAGAGAGGCACCATTCACCAAAAAAAAAAAAAAAAAAAAAAGAGAGAGAGAAAATTTAAAATACATAGAAAGCTTCCATAGCAGAGCAGTAAGGCGAGAATGAGGTCAAAATATTAGTGGCTTGAGGCATCTAGCTAAGCGGTTTAGGAGCAAAAGCACAATTAAAGCTAGAGAAACTGCAGACACTCTTACACACAGGTGTTATTTTTTGCAAGGTGTTGTAAAGTGCCATCTACCAGGCTCACAAGGGGATGGTGACTTCCACGGGGGAAGTGGGGACGGGCAGCGCCTCCAAAGCTGCACAGTAGACAGAACAGGTTTCCACAAGCCCCATGCAAGTCTCGGCTCTGGGGTCACAGCACGGGTCTAGTCCCTGCAGCGCCATGGGGACAGTGTATCTCTGGTTCCTTTGAAGGAACCATGGTCAGGGCCCCTTCTCAGGGCGGGATACAGCACTCAGTGCTCTCCACTGTGTCTGAGGATGCAGTCACTTTGAACTCTCAATAAGGCTCACATGTCAGAAACCAGGATTTACCACCTTAAAATATCCATAATCATTTAGGGTACCTTGTCCCCAGTGGGAATTTAGGCCAC